TGCCGCGTTCACGTCAACGATTTGGAGCTCTCAGGTGCACGGAAGGAACGCAAGAACTATTCTCACCATTGACTGCTGAACTCAGGGCCATGTTTGTTTACATTATCAGTGGTGCGTGACGCCAGAGTTCAGCATCTGAGAAAGATCGGGGTCCAGAGATCATACCCGAGTTTCTTAGTCATAATTACGAGTTGAAGGGGCGTACAGGTGCATTTTTCCCAGTAGGCATAGGTCGTACTTAAGATTTCCCGCCATCACGTGAACGCAGCATAATCTACGCGAAGTTCGTGGTGTTTCATAGACAGGGAACGTTAAACATATACCGTCTTATCATGAACCTGTCTACCGCCTGAAGCAAATGTACCGACGCTCCAACGCTGTCTAAACGTTAATACGCCTCGCTTGCAATATGGTGTTAGAGCAATTTGGAATTTTCACATCGGCAAGAAAAAAAAAGAAAAAAGGAAAGGTTAAATTAGGCTACTACACACCTTTATAGGGTTAGGGTTCCCACACCGCCATGTTACATCGTTTGTTTACAGAAGACAGAGGCAATCACCTGCTCTAATTAGCTTTTGAAGCATCTCCTAACACCTGTGGGTAACGGAATCGCCAGAATTAGTGTTGTAACCGAAAAATTCTGTCGGCTGCAACTGTGTTAAACGCGGTTAAAACGGTGTACAGTAGGCGGCCTAAGTGTATATTTTCTATTTGTGAAATTATTTTGATGTGATGTGAAAGTAGAGGGCTTTATGTTTCCAAAACCATATCGCAAGCGAGGATTATTAAAGTTTTTAAACGTAAAAACAGAGCGTCGGGATTGTAGTTCACAATCGGCCATCTGTGGTCCATACCTTCAGCTGAGAAACCAAGCAGGGGAAACTGGAAGCCCCCTTGAGCCCCCTTGGGTTCTCGAGGGCTATAATGTTTCCCAGAAGTGTTTGTGGAGAACAGTTTGGGTGATTATATTTGATAAAGAATCACGTAAATAAACAGGGATTTATGTAATCATATTGACTTAAAAGATAACGATAGCGTTGCAAAAAGAGGCAGTTTGAAAGCATCCCCTGTTTATTTTTTAATTTTTTTATTTTACCTTTATTTAACTAGGCAAGTCAGTTAAGAACACATTCTTATTTACAATGACGGCCTACACCGGCCAAACCCGGACGACGCTGGGCCAATTGTGCTATCTTGCCTCTTGCCAGCCATTGCTTTCTTCTTGTCTCTGGGGCTACATTGTGTGTAAACATATGGTGTAAACATGCATACATAAGATAGTGGGCCGTTAAACTCTGGCTTTATATCCATACAGCTCTATTATTTGAGGGAAATTGTTATGGGCCAGTCTGAATTGACTCGCATAAACAAACGCTATAGCTACAACCCTGTTTAGTTCCACCGGAATAAAATAACCGGTGACAATTGAAGAGTCACCCCAACTCTCTCATGTCACCAGCTCTGAGCAGCCGGGCCCTTCTACCTCCTTCCCCCTCCCGAGCCAAGCCCGGCATAAAAGCCCTCTCCCGTGCGCCGTAAATAATGTTGATAAAGACGCCACCGAAAACGACTTTCACGCGTCGCCCGATTGATTTAACGTGACCTCCGTTTCCAAATGATATTGGAAGTCTATTTAAACAGATGAAGGCTTAAATTGTCTCGCTTGTATGTGCATTAATTCCCCATTCATCATCATTACTCAGTGATTGGTCCATCCACGCCTCCTCGCCAGCCCGCGCGCTACGACAAGGGCCTGTAAATTAGAATGTAGTGCAATTTAAACAGCAGCAGCAGCCTCGGATAGGATGGCTGTGTTTTTTCTCTCTTCAGTGGACAGCTGCTTCGCACCTCCCCTATCAAAACGCTATGTGCTAGTCAGGGTTCCGACGAGCCCGGAGCCAATTCTCACTAATAACATATTCTAAGGCCGAGGTAATTGCTGTTATGTGCGCAATATAGCAGCCCATCATATCTTGTAGCTCGGTCGTATACTTCCAGCGATTAAATGGAGTGTTGATGGTGGATTAGGCAATTGAGGATTCAACGTAGTGAGGGAGAGCTGGGGATCCATATGCGTTGTTGGGTAAATGTGGTTGTAATTTGTATCACTTATGTGTCATTCTGGCACTGTGACGCGCGTTTGAAAAGATGATCATATGGTGGTGGGGGTTGCTACTGTATGGGCCCCAACCAGTCCTGGCCGCTAAACAGAACTCACACTGTCACTGTCCAATGGGAAACAATTGTGAAATGGCCAATGCATTTGAATATGTATTTCCTTTACATTTTATGTTACGTTATTATTTTATTATGCACAAGCCAAAACAATTTTCCTTTCCTTTCTGCAACCTCCGTGTAAGGTAAAAATATGGCGTGATGGCTGACATAAATCTGCCTTGTGGCTTCGCCCTGACCCGGGCGGCTTAAACGGTGTATTATTCCAAACATATGCATTTTAATCAGCTCGGTCACACTTACAAGAACGCCAGTTAATAAGGCGATCAATCACAAGGGCGCGCATGGGGTGGAGGGTATTTCGGGGGGGTAGCTGGTGCTGCCTGATTAGTACGAGCCTTTTACCTCGTGACACATCGGAATGCACGCCGGATAGTAGCATGATTTAACGAATAATTAGCCAACACATTATTTTCTCTTCAGATAGAAAAATAGATATAGGCTAATATATTTTAGAAGGTATCACGATAATAAGACCGTATTGTTTGCTAAAATGTTGGGCTAAGTTAAAATAACAGTAAGCTAATGCTGTCTCGTTTATTCGTTAGATAACCATTGGAGATGAGTTCATTAGAGCGCGAACATGACTTAGTTTATCTAATTTTAGACTCAATACATATTTAGGCCTATACAGATAATTTGTTACTGCGTTTTACAGGAGCATAGAATATTGGAACGCTTTTATCCACCCTCGATTTAAATGTCACACATTTTCACTAATCATTTGCTGAAATAACTTCTAATCTACCCTCTCGACGATGTAAACGCCTATTAAAAGCCTCTGAGCTCGTGGTGCTACAGCCTCTTTCTAGTGTCCCACTATATCCAGAAATCTGTCATTTACGGAGAGCGCACGCCTCAATTACGCGTCAACAAATTAAACTCGCGCTGATTGGTTGGGCCAGTTGGATCATCGATCTTTTAGCATTCCAATATCTTCTCGAGACAATTAATTCTGCCGTTGTCTATTAACCGGTGGGAGAGAAAATAATGACTGGCTTTAACCGAGCCCGGGGACCGCTGAGCTGTCATACAATCTCGCGCGCCCATCACAAGACTACGCCCAGCAATTCTGTATTTTGACACCGACCACTTCAGTCAAATTACTGCTTTTGTTAGGAGCAATATGCAATGACAATGCCCTGTACCTTAGGCCTATTGTATTTTATATTTTCCTATGGCATTTGTCTATAATAGTCCTACAAGTAAAGAAATCGCTAGGAAGTTCCATAGGCCTACTTCTATTATTTTAGGCCTAACAATGTGCAATTAATTCGTTCTATATCAATAGAATAGGAATAACCTTTTGGAATATATATTTTTTTATTTGATTTAGATTAGGATTGTACATGTAGGCCTTCCCCTGATGCCAGGCTGCAATGAAAACTAGTAGGCCTATTCCGTGAGTTGTAGAATAAAACATTCGATGGATTTTGTTGTTTGAAATGCTGTTTATTGCAAATTTGAAGTCCAGAACAATCCAACAATATATTCAGCAAGAATTACCAGAGAGTTCAGTTCCTATATGAATTCGCTCTCTTGAGCCTTTTTACAGTACTATCCCTAAAACATGACAGGGTTATTTCGATAAAATACTATGCCAGTAACAGTGCAAAGCGATAAATGGACATAAAGAAATAATAGCAATTTCCCCAAACTATTTTAGAATGAGTATAATAAATATAAGGCTTATAGTATCAGAATCAGTCGTTATCAATGCATTTATCCAAGCATTCGGTCTTATGAACACTGGCTGAGGGTAAAGTAGAATGGGGGAGAATTGGCGGTAGGCAGGGGCGGAGAGGTGGTAGCAAGTGTTCAGTCGAGGGTATATGGGTGAGATGGGCAGCTCGAGCGAACTCGGCCTAATTTGCCTGGTGTGATTGTCCAATGGCTTCTCTCTCTTCCCGGGTCAAGCCAGAGCGAGCTAATCCGTTCCCCTGGCGCCTTGTTACCGTTTGGCAGAAACGATTCTTCCCGGCCTCCGCGCGCCGCCGGTATTATCATTAATTCAACACTCAAAATTCATCCGCAACGTACATATACATCACTTACTAATTTTACCAGCATCTGCACATTTCGGCCCCAGACCGTCAAAAAAGGGACACTCAGGCAGGGAGAGAGAGCCATAATGAGACGGTGCAGTCTGTTAACAAATTCCCTTGTTAAAAAAATAAGATGGAAAACATCATTCTAGTGTAACTAGCCTCCCCATATATGTAGGTCGAACTGGACATGTGAAGAGACTACAAATAATGATAAACCGTTAACGCCATCCATCACGGAGATAAACGTTTGTCTGTAATTCCCAGTCCGCCTGAGCTCTCTCTTTCCTCGCACCAAATTAATTTGAGATAAATCAAATGTATTTTTTGTACGATCTCGGAATATTTCATAGTCTGCATGGGGTTTTGTAACTGAAATGTATTTTTTCAGTGGATAGCGTGATGTGTGAGATCATCGCGTTGGTGCTTGAAAAAATATAGCTTAAAAACTGGGTAGGCTATTTTTACGCTCCGAGCTCGCTCATCTCTCCTTTTTGTTATGTAGCAGGTGTATGTAACAGCACGCGCTGCAGTACCTGTCGTTTATGCTGCTGCTTGTATGGAGTCTGCTCCACAAGAGCCTTCTATTCATGCTGTTTGAGTCCTGTTCATGTGTTTTCTTTAAGTTAGATAAAAGCTCATCATGGTAAAAGCGTATGGCCCTCTTCTGCGCTTCATTGACCCAGTCCAATGAACACATGTGGATGTGCTCTCTTCGTTTTATCTGGTCAATTGCACCTCCTCTCTCTGGTCCAAAGTCACCGGTGAGGACTTGCTCAGCACCGACGGTGTAAACGTCAGAAACGCGTCAGTCCTGCTCGTTGGGGAGCACGGGAAGTCTGACCCGGTGGGCCTCTGTGGAAAGCCGTTTGTTTGAGCGGAGTGACAGGCGAGGCAGGAGCAGGGGCTCCCCCCGGGACCGAGGCCGTGGGCCGGGCTGTGGTACAGGGACGGGTGCCTGAACGCACACAGCAGCTCTGGCCTCTGGTAGGGATGAGACAACATCCGGAAACTGTCGAGGGACCTGAGTGGGTTGGAGAACGGGGTGGCGGAGGAGGCCGAGCCGGCTCCGACCCCAAGGTGGGAGTAATACGGTAATGGAAGGTGGGACGGGAAGGAGTAACCGAGGTTCCCGGTGGCGGCCGCGTGGCTCATCATGTAAGTATAGAAGGCGGGGTCGGCGGGGTGAGGCCACGTCATGGCCAGACGCTGCCGCTTGTCCTTCATTCGTCGGTTCTGGAACCACACCTATGGAACACAAACATACAGACAGGTGGGGTAAAATATTAACCTTCATATGTCTGTGACGAGACAGACAACAGATTTACAGCTGTTTTTGCACTTTTACGCAAGGTTCCAAATGGCCTTACAGTTAGAGAGCAGTGGCCAGACATACACGGAGTGTACAAAACACTAGGAACACCTGCTCTTTCCATGACATAGACTTACCAGGTGAATCCAGGTGAAAAAGACATGATCCTTTATGGATGTCACTTGTTAAATCCACTTCAGTCAGTGTAGATGAAGGGGAGGAGACAGGTTAAAGAAGGATTTTTAAGCCTTGAGACAATTGAGACATGGATTGTGACATTCAGAGGGAGAATGTGCAAGACAAAATATTCAAGTGCCTTTGAACGGGGTATGATAGTAGGTTGCAGGTGCACCGGTTTGAGTGTGTCAAGAACTGCTACGCTGCAGGGGTTTTCACGCTCAACAGTTTCCTGTGTGTATCAAGAATGGTCCACCCCCCAAACGACATCCAGCCAACTTGACATAACTGTGGGAAGCATTGGAGTCAACGTGGGCCAGCATCCCTGTGGAACGCTTTCCACACCATGTAGAGTCCATGCCCCGACGAATTGAGGCTGTTCTGAATGTAAAAGGGGGTGCAACTCAATATTAGGAAGGTGTTCCTAATGTTCTGTAAACTCAGTGTATAGGCCTATGCAAATTCTTAAGCTCGCCCCTTAAATGTTTCCTGTTTAATCATTAACACAATGAATCAACGTTTTATTTCGGTAAATATTGCCCGTGAAATTGCATTTACTGTATTGTTTTGAGAACCCACATAAATATAGGTTGAGTAGCCAAGGCCTCGATTTGTCTGATGTGATTTCAAGTGAACTCACATTTTCTTTTTAGATTTGCAACTAAGATATGTCCTTTCTATGCCAAATATGTTGTATGGGCAATAGGCCTAGATGTAGTCGAGAAACGTTATGATGTTGAAATAGGCTACTGTTAAAGCCGAAGACCCTTATCCTACCTTGATTGTGGTTTCTGGTAAATTTAGTGAAGCCGCCAGTTCGCATCTCCTCGGCCTGGACACGTAATTCTCCCGGTAGAATTCCTTCTCCAACCGGCCAATTTGCTCCCGAGTGAAGGCTGTCCGGTACCGTCGCATCACGTCGGCCCCGTAAGACAGCGAGCCCTGTCCTGAACTAATCTTACCAAGATCCATGCCGTTGTCACTCGGGTGGCATGGGGAATCACCGTTTCGACCTGGAATGGGTTTAAAACATGAATCAGATCATTAGTTATTGAATAGCATAAAGTAAAGATACATTTGATGACAATAGTTTCCTACAATTATATGTTGTACATGTTTTCTTTTGTTATTTTTGTTTTGTATAATTGTCACTGCAGCCTCTATTTTTTGTTTGATTGAGGTTGACATAAATCGAAAGCAGTGCACCACAACTACCCAAAATGCATCTCATCATATATTAAGCCTATATAGGCCTAGAGTAAACTAAATAATCCAGATAAATGAATACCATAGCTAACTGCAGAAGGGATAATTATATTAATCCATCATTGTGATATTTTATGCAGCACCCAATTGAATGTGAAGAGAATAGAATATATAATCATTCGTTCAACATGTAGGCTACTTTTTCCCATTAATTTGAAAACAGGTCCTCAAAATACATATGGTAATAATCAAATCAAATCAAATATTATTTGCCACATGCGCCGAATACAACAGGTGTAGACCTTACAGTGAAATGCTTACTTACAAGCCCTTAACCAACAATGCAGTTTTAAGAATATAAAAAAAGTGTTAAGTAAAAAATAGATAAGTAAAAAATGAAAAAAGCAAATAATTAGCATCAGACAATTCATTTGGAGCCTATTTTTCATAAAGACATGGCCAGTGTGATGTCAGTTCTCCTTGAGTATGGTCCCCAGATAATTCCAATCAGTCTACCAACGAATTAATAAGGTATTCTAGTGTTTTGGGGTCTGTCATTTTTATTTGTGGTTTGTTTACTTAAAATCTCTACTAGTAGTATACGTGCAAATTGGTTAATTTGCTATAGGGTGTCTGGCGCCGGGGTGACTTTAAAAGTGACACTGTGGTTAAAACCCTAGCTAAGGGGGTGTAACCCTATAACAAGCTAAGATCTCTCATGATTGTGGATGTAATAATCTATAGAGAAATTAATTCATTACAAATGAACGTTGTTAAAAAAAACAATAATTATGTTCAGTAAAATGTCACTCCTTATCCATAATTCAATCGTACGGAATATCTTGCATATGTTACGCCATAATTTACTTTTTTCATTCTGGACGCTGCATTCACAGAAATAGGCTACTACGAATCGATTGTAGACCATGTTTACAGCGTCACATCGATTGCATTAATTCGTTTTTCCCAACTTCAAAATCACATCCATGCAATGTGTTAAAGAAAACGAAATGAAGAGTGCCATTCCGTTTTATTCATTACCTTTCCCATCGGGGTAGTCCATGCTTTCTGGCGTGCAGCTCACATCAATTTCCTCATAGAAGTCTGATTCTGTGTCCGAGCTGCTCGTTTCTTTGTTGGTGTGATCTATCCGGTGTCTCTCCGTAGAAGAGGACATGCCAACCGGCCTTATATCGGCGCACACGCGTCCGTGTGCGCCCTCCACCTCCTCGTCAGCTCTGTCTCGCGAGTAGGGTGCAGAACCAGGGCTCAGGCAGTTCCTGTGGACCGTCTTTCCTTGCGGTTCTCGCGCGGGGCTTCCAACTGCTTCCGAGAAATTAGAGCTCGTCTTGCCAACCGCCTTGCCAAGTTGACCACCCTCCGCAAGCATCACCATCTCCTTTCTGTTTTCCATTACCGACGAACGAACGCGAGTCGAATGAACGGGCGCCAAATCACTATGGAGAGAGCCAAGCTGTCTGTGACACTGCAGGCTACGGGTGGCGAGTGGATTCAGTCGTGAAAGTGGAGAAAAAATAGTAGAGGAATTGATTGAAATGAGAGGAGAGAAGAGAGGGGGATGTACGTTCTGATCCTGCGAGGCGAGCGCTTCAGAGTGCGGCACAAGCCCTGGGAGGGTTCACCATTGCATGCTCTTTCTCTGGAGCTGTCATTCTTAATAGGGCAGTCGTCATAATGGCACCCCCTGATGACGCCACGCATCGATTGGATGTGGATAAACAGAGAACGAGCAATCACGACGGCGGGATGAGGGATAACAGGGAAGTCAAGCAGCTTTGGAAAGGAGTGTAGGCTACAAGCACATTATCAATTGGTAGTGCATGCCGCTTGCAACGCCAGGGTTGTGGGTTCGATTGCCACGGGGGGCCAGTATGGGAGAAGAAAAAAAAAGTATGCACTCACTAACTGTAAGTCGCTCTGGATAAGAGCGTCTGCTAAATGACTAAAATGTCAAATGAGCTAATGAGCAAATTATTTTGTGCAAGTATCAAGAGTATATATAGTCCACTGAACGTCAATGTTCTCCAATCCTCAATTTCCACAAGGAAACAAAACCGTTCGAAACGATGAATTCTGAAATATCTTCAAGATTTCAATGATAGTTTTTTTTAAAGGTTCTAAAGGTCATTCTTAGGAGGTACTAAGTTATTAAGATGATGAACACTATTGATATGTAAATTACAATTATAAATAATGATTTACTAATTTCTAGGACACCAGGTTATGTGTAATGTGATGCATGAAATAATCCATATTATTAACCCACTATATACATTTTTGACAAGGGACAAATTATTTGCGTTGTTTGTTGTGACGTGGTCATCAAATAACCCACACATATTTTGGGGGGAAATATTATAGTGTGTATTTGAAGCTAAATGGTGAAGCTAATTGGTTTAGCATTGTGATATTTGTAATCCACAGCAGGAGCACAATATAACAGTATGGTGACGTTTCTTGCAAAGTGCCAAGGCTCCCCTTAATTGTGTTATGTAGTACTGTATGTGTGAGTGAATCTGAAGTTGTCAGCTTTCTGTCTAAAACAAAACCCAATTATTTTCAAACGTCTGTGAATGTGAAGGACAATGCATAACAATATAAAGCCTGTTATTCAATTGAAATTCTGATTGCAGTAAACTGCACTGGACAGAATGAAGACCATATTAATATATTTGCCACGTTATTCAGTTTCAAGGAAAGCGTTGCAAGCATTGCAATAAAAAGCATCGGAAAGCGTTACAATCAAAAGCATCGTGGCCACCAATGCATAGGCCCATCTTATAACAAAATAATCACGTTGTTCTAATACATTGTCCCTGAGACTTCAATTCCAAAGGGAAGTGAAAGCAGATCTATTCTCAGTGGTGCTTAATAGAGGCGTTTAAAACATGTTCCATTTGGAATAACATGCTTTATGCGCACCTCGAAGCGTCTAATGAAATGAAATGGAGATGTCCACTCTTTAGTGGCCTGTCCAAGTATCCATGGAACACTGCGTAATTGGAACGGAACACGCAATCTTCGTCACATTTCAGTGTCCCGCCCTATCCCTCTCCATCCCCTCTCTCCCCAATCTCTCTCCCTCTCTCACCCCCTCCTTAAAGTGGTGCCAAGTAAAGTGCTCAGTCTTGGTGGCCAGAGTTAAGATTACTGACCATTTGACTTGTGATTACATTCATATTAGTCTGAACAACCAACAACATGGGGCTACACAGCCTGGTCTCATAGACTATAGGTAACATAGTAAACGTAAATCCGGGACCCTCAAATTAGTACATGTTACTAGGTATGGTTACATAGATGGTTACTTAAGGCAAAAACGAAAGTAGGGTGGTTGGTCGGGGTGGATGGGTGGGCGTACAACGCGAACGTCTAGCAACCCAAAGGTTGTGAGTTTGAATGGTATCATTTTTGCTAATTATCAACTTGTTTACAACTTACTACTTTTTAGCTACTTTGCAACTACTTAGCATGTTAGCTAACCCTTCCCCTAACCCTAACCTTAACCCTTTTAGCTAACCCTTCCCCTAACCTTAACCCTTTTAGCTAACCCTTCCCCTAACCCTAACCTTAACCCTTTAACCTAACTCCTAAACTTAACCCTTAGCTAACTTTAGCCAGCTAGCTAATGTTAGCCACCTAGCTAGAACATATTATACATTTAGCAAATTCGTAACATATTGTACGTTTTGCTAATTCTTAACATATAATACGAATTGTAATTCATAACATATCATACGAAATGGGGGATGGACATCCACAAATGAACACATACCATACGAAACGTAATATATCATACTAGATGGAGCCACTCGGATTTACATAGAGAATAATACGAAATGCTCTGAGACCAGGTTGGGCTACAGGAAAGGTTTTGATCACAACCCAAGACCTATAATTTAGGAAGCATTGTTTTACTGTAATTGCATAGTTTTATCAGCTATACTATAGCCTGCATTATGGCTATGGCATATTTGAACATAAAGGGTGAAACTTTATAAAATATAAAATAAGCATAAAAAGGATCAACGTCGGTAACTTCAGAAATATTAGAGGGCTATACATTACTGGACAAGTCAACCATTTGATTATTGTGAATTTAATTTTCTTGTCAAGCCATGTCTCCCGAGTAAAACAAAACAAAACCATTTCTGACATTCTCTGTGCACACACGCCTGTGTTCTATGGGGGATTGCGCATGCGCAGATAAAGGCGACGCCGTGCATGTTGGATGGGGGACGTCTCCTATCCTCTCTTTGATCTATGTACTCTAGCGCAGTAAAAAGTCACTAAACACAGTGATAAAGGACAAGGCTTTTAAGGCTATGGCCTTTGGGGGAGGTTGAACTTGAGATTACCACTCTAAAGATTTCACGGTGTTTTAAGTTGAGCCCTGGAATCGTAATGGGGCCGGTTACAACTCTCTGGCTGTTTGTTTTCTGCTTATGCATCACGCATTACACATTACGCATAGCATCCTCAGTATTCTTTCTATTTACTATTGAAGGATGGGCTCATAGAATTAGGGATTAGAATACGTAATATTAATTTAAGAGGATTTATATGGATAGGCTCAATGTAAGCATCCAGATCAAGCCGCTATTAGCTAATTGACGGAGATGAAGTATAGAAGGCTGGGTCCCGATTCTCCAACCTTCTACCAAAGTACACTTGCACAACCATAACCATCGTGGATGAAACCATGGTGCTTACACCAATGCAATGCTTTTAAATCCATGATGGGGAGTGTACAAGTGCACACTTTGGGAGAAGGGTGGAGAATCGGGATGCTAGTGAAAATCATTCTTTCTCCACTCCTTATTGGACTATCCAGTTGTTTGTTCCTCTGATTCCACTGTTAGATTGAGCAGGTTAGGGATGGGTCAGCAGACATGTCTGTAGAATAGGTACATTGACTCATATTACATGTCCTACAGTTCACACACAGTATCAGTGTTACTGGGGACTAGGATGACGTCAGGGGTCGTCGTGAGAAGGGGATGCCACCAAGTAGTCTCGCGCAGCCATCGCTGTCCTCGTGCGCCCTCGCCTGTTGAAAAATATGAAGACACACGAGCCCTCACGGATTTTTTGGGGGGCGCCTGACCGAGTGAAATTCCACTCTTGCACACAGGCCCACCTCCCACCTCCGCCTTCATTTTCTTCTCTAGCTCTCACTCCCCTCTACTCTCCGCTTACAATGACAGTTCACAGTAAAGGTGTTTGAGCCGGTTCTGTAAGGATATTAGATGCCGTTTTTAAGGTCTGCATCTTTTATGTCGCGATTCTCTGTATCCCTCTGAAACACACTACAGTATGCTATTAAAACTATAAACGTTTCGTATACTCTTATTCCATTGTCTAATTATAGGCTACTCTCTTCCCCTATAGGTCATTTTAGAGTTGCTTATCAATTGTTGTATTCTTTTCTCCCATCTGATGATACTCTGTCTGGTACAAGCAGTAACTTGTCAATTCTGACTCTTCCGTACCAAAAAGCAATTCTGCAAAAAGCAATTATATCTTTTAGATGTCTATTTCTGTCTGTCTTTGAATTTTGTAAGAAATGAAGGCTACATCACTTCAATCACTTGAAGCCCTAGTAGGCTACCATACAATTCTTCCACCTGTGTGATAAAATGGAAGTCCTTGAAATGAAAATGAGAAAGTGGAGAAAATAATGTTATGTTATTGTCCCTCCATGAGAAGTTCTCATTGAGTACGTTGTCCATGCTATAGATAGATAGATAGATAGATAGATAGATAGATAGATAGATAGATAGATAGATAGATAGATAGATAGATAGATAGATAGATAGATAGATAGATAGATAGATAGATAGATAGATAGATAGATAGATAGATAGATAGATAGATAGATAGATAGATAGATAGATAGATAGATAGATAGATAGATAGATAGATAGATAGATAGATAGATAGATAAAGTCAAGACAAGCACGGGAGACATAAATGTTTATGACGTGTCCGATCCACCCAGTCACAATCGGAACCATAGTAATACAATGTTTCATTAGAACCTAACTAATATTTCGCTTTTTACTTCAGTAGATACAATTCCACCGTTTGGAAAGACACCGAGAGGGAAATGATTTCGGTAAGACAAGACTGTTTCCTTAAGCCTGTGTCCAGAGATAGGGACCTGGCTACCTGGATCAACCAACACTACTGAAAGTGTATAAGGTCCTCGATATTTAGAAGTTTGAGTTACCAACAAGACCTAGCATACTATGTTTTAAACTATTGTGGGAGGTTTGAGAAACTTTGCGTTATAGGCTATACCCTATATATACTGTATAGAATATATAGCCTATATTCCATTGAGTGTTGCTGTATTCATAATATTGCTTTAATTGATACCAAAATGGCCTA